GAGATAGGAGACATTTTAAATATTTATTTGGGTCGAGATCGTGCTATACGCCGAGGTCCCCAAATGAATATTTAAAATCTAAAAAATTAAATTTATTCTATTTTGAAATTTCCCTGTGAGATAGTGGGCATTTTAAATATTTATTCGGGCCGACATCGCGCTACATGTCGAGATCCCTGAATAAATATTTAAAATTACTAATCCAAATATTCTTTCATACTGAAGAATACAATGATTTCTTTTTTAAAGTATATGCAGGAGATCTCTCAAAAGATTTAGACAACACCTTTTCCAACAAACTAAAGTTCAAAAGTCAATAAAGAGACTTTTGTGGCTACGCACTTCGACAAATCAAGCAAAAATAAGCTTGAAGTCTTTCGACAGCCTGAAGCTTAAGGTTCGAATGGGTGTAAGAGGTCAGATCCAACATGCCTAAATATGGCCAGATCGCTGGCAACTCCGTCTACTCAACACGTCATAAGAAAGGCCATAGTAGCGGAACCCCGACTTCGTTAACCCGTTAGTACGGAGTGTAGGAAGAATGAATGCCGATTTAACTCGACAAGTTCAAGTGATCGTAGTCTACCAAATTCTCCTAAATGACTGGAGAATCAAAGTTTCAATGGAAGGATGAGTTTTAAATAACCAATGAATGCTCGTAGGCTCCAAATCTTCAACCACAATGGATGACTCCAAATCTACAACTTCAATAAAATCAACATTGGGAAGCACAATTCCCATAGGTCAAGTTTGAAGCCTGAATGGGTGTAAAAGGTTGGATCCAATACCCCCAAATATGGCCAGATCACTGGCAGCTCTCTCTAATCAACACACCATAAGAAAGGTCGTAGTAGTGGAACCCCACTCCGTCAACCTGTTAGTAAGGACAGTAGGAGGAACGAAAGCTAATTTGACTCGACTAGTTCAAATGATCGTAGTCCACCAAGTTCTCCCAAATGACTCGAGAATCAAATTTCCAATGGGAAGCTGAGTCTTAAACAACTACCAAATGTTCGTAGGCTCCAAAATCATCAACCACAAAGGATGACTCAAAATCTATAAACATCAGTAAAATCAACATTGGGAAGCATAATTTCCATAGCTCAAGTTTGAAGCCTGAATGGGTATAAGAGGTAGGATCCAACAAGCTAAAATATGGCAGGATCGCTGGCAGCTCCATCTACTCGACAAGCAATAAGAAAGGTCGTAGTAGAGGAACTCCCCATCTCAGCAACCAAAGGATAAAGAGCTATCAAATCCTAGCTCTCTCGATCTGATGAACTCAAGTGACTTAGATTAAAGTCTTCTCAAGTGGTTAAGGATCAAGATATTACCTGCGTCGATATTATCAAATGAATCCAAAACATACAGATTCTTCAACAAGTCTTCCAAAGCACAAAGCAAAGGACCGAAGAAAACTTTCCCAAAGTTCATGAAAAGCATATGACTGAACTAAGAGGATTCTGTCATCAACAAGTCCAATATACACGAAGCTCTGGATGGATGACTTTTCACCACCGACTCAGTATAAGAATAAAAGGTTTAGGTCACAAGCATCTACCCCTTCATAAATCCAGCCAAAGCTAGAACCAAAGGGCATAAGGCATACAAATCTTCTAACAAGTCACCAAAGACAAATTAGATAACCTTTGCCATGTTCACCACTCTAAAGCATAAGGAGGAGGATCAAAATCCCAAGACTATTGCCAAAGTTACGGAATGAGCACCCCATATGACATCTATAAATGTCCCTAAAGACTTGGGGTATTTTAAATATTTATTTGGGTCGTCATAGTGCTGCATGCCCAGAGTTACAAGTCTGCCAAATTTTTTTGAAGTGGCTAAGAATCAAGATATTACCTACATTTGATATTATCAAATGAATCTAGAACATACAAATTCTTCAACAAGTCTTTCAAAGCACAAAGCAAAGGACTGAAGAAAACTTTCCCAAAGTTCATGAAAGGCATATGACTGAATTAAGAGGATTCTGTCTTCAACAAGTCCAATATGCACGAAGCTCTGGATGGATAACTTTTCACAACCAACTTAGTATAAGCCTAAAAGGTTTAGTTCACCAGCATCTACCCCTTCATCAAGCCCGCCAAAGCTATAACCAAAGGGCATACGGCATACAAATCTTCTAACAAGTCACCAAAGACTAATTAGATAACCTTCACCATGTTCACCACTCTGAAGCACAAGGAGGAGGTTCAAAATCCCAGGACTCTAGCCAAAGTTACAGAATGAGCACCCTCTATGACATTTATAAATGTCCCTAAAGACTGGGGGTATTTAAATATTTATTTGGGTCAGCATAGTGCTGCATGCTGAGATCACCAAATAAATATTTAAAATTTTTTCAAGATACAACCTGATGATAGAAAAATGTTGAACACATATAGTAAGGTTATAAACTAAAGTGATCGTGGTCATTAAAGAGAATAAATAGTGGTGATACTATCCACCATTATCAATCTATAAGGCCATACTCTTAGGATCTAAACACAAAATTCTACATCACTATCCAAGGGGTCTCTACCTAACTAAAGCCGGTGTATCAACCATTTTTGGATACATCTAACTTACACACGCGAAAGTTCTTCTCTGTTCGCATAAATCTCCCTCCCGTCATTGCTTTTGACTCCATGAGTAGCCTCAAAATCTTCCCCATTCTGGCATTCTTTTTTAATTTTATTTTATTTTATTTTTTTTAATTTTATTTTGTTTTATTATTATTATTATTAATATTATTTAATTATAATTAATTATTATTAATAATAGTTAATTATAATTAATCATAATTAAATATGTTAATTATATTTAATTATTATCAATAATAATTAGTTTAAATTAAATAAATTATAATTAATTTATAATTATTATTAATAATTAACAATAATTTATTAAAATTAATTATGATTAACTTTTTAATTTAAATAAAATATTATCATTTATAATTAAATATGCTTAATTATTATAATTATAATTAATTATTTTTAAATTATAATTAATTATCATTAATTTTAATTAATTATAATTAATTTGAAAAAAAAGAGAGAAATGAAATTTTGTACATTTCACCATCACCTCGCGCAGGTATAAAATTCCTAAACTCTAAAACCTCAAGAACCTTTCCTAGCGCTTGCAACACGGCGAACGACCACTTATGCATGCTTTTGCCTAGCGTGGTAGGAGGGAATTAGGTGCAATGCTTGCGACGGGGAGGGTAATCACAAAACCCCATTTTCGACGTTAGCAGCCCACCAAAAAACTAACTCATTCACCTTTTTCTCTAGCGTGGTGGGAAGAGAACCCGGTGCGACGCGTATGATGAGGTGGGGTCAAATATAAAATTACTTGTTTTAAACCGGTACCTGAAAACCCATGCATGCCTTTTTCTAGCATTATGGGGAATAAAGATATTACGACCCCGGTGTCCTCGTACGAGGGCACTTATCGTGCACGCTTTTTTCTAGCATGGTGGGAGGCCCTGTTTTACGTAGTTTTCCCCTAAACGGGGGAGACGCTGGGAGGCTTAAAATTTTGGGTGAACATACAACTAAATTTGGGACATAATTAAACATCAAATGAACTTGATTGAACTCATGGAACTAATATTTGAACTTGAACGAACTCAAAGGACAATAGAGGACATGCATTTGAACTAGAACTTTGACATTGAGTTTAAACAGTGAAATGAAATTGTATTCGGACACAAAGCAAATAATTAACAAAATATTATTGAATCTAATAAGTTCGGACTTGGGCTTAATTTGGATATTAAGTGAATATGACATGAACTAGTCTGATTAAAACTCAAATGGACAAAGAACTTGATAAAAATTTGAGCTTGATACTTGAACTCAAGCAAGGACTTGATTTGGACAACAAGACTCGGACTCAAGCTTGGACATGTATTTGAACTAAATGCACTTGAACTCTAACTTGAATTTGATATAACTTGGATAATTTAGAGTCAAATTCAAATGAATGGGACCATGTCTGGATATTGAACATGAACTAGATTTGAACACAAGCAATGGCTTCCAAATTTGACTAGAAGAGACTTATAGTTGGAGCTGAATGAGAACTACAATGAATAATGAGTGGAACCTAAGCCACTAATGAAGGAATCAATTTTCAATCATAACAACATGAAATCAGATCTAATATTTAAAATAAAGATTGTGATTTGCAAGACAACAAAATTCTTAAAAGTCAGCAAATGTGATGACACACTTGCAATCAACAAGCAAATTCATTATGTGAGCCAAAAGCTATCAAGGGCATTGTGAAATTGGTAATGTTCAATGTGACTCATGCATGAGAAGTGACCAATGAAGACTATAGATAATATCACGATTTTCTTATAAAAGATATCTTGAGACCTTTGAAATATTGCAGCTCATTTATAATGATCATGGGAGTTGAAGATCTGAGATACTCTGAGTAACTTACACATAAGCGATAGAAAATGACAAATGATGGAGACCATAACATCTTCATAGGCAACCATCACTTAGCATGAAGTGAACATGTTGAACCTCTACAAGTAATAGCAATTAAATATTCAATATAAGATATTCACAAGAAAATATAAAGGGCATGTAGATGATAACAATTGATTGAAAATATTCATCCAATCATGTAATCTAGTGATAGACACTGGGAGTTGTGATGACCAAAGAATAAGATCTCAAGAGGCATGCAAGCAAGGGAGAATAAAACAAAATTATCTCTGATCATTCATGAAAATAAGTATACATATAATGATTCATACAGTAGCACACTCATTAAAAATCTACAATACATACAATCTCTATATGAATTTGGATGGCTCTCTCTCTTTCTCTCTCTCTCTCTCTCTCTCTCTCTCTCTCTCTCTCTCTCTCTCTCTCTCTCTCTCTCTCTCTCTCTCGAGGCGATTTCGTCTGGGGGATTTTTCTCTCGGAAATGAGATCCAGCAGGCGCATTTTGTTTGGGTTTGCTCATGGGGCATGGTTGGGGGTGATCGGCGGTCACCCCCTCGTCATCCTCCGAGAAGCAGCGGTGGGAGGGATAGTGGTGGTTCTGGTAGGGAGAGGAAAGGCATCGAGGGAGGTAAATTGGGAGCTGCTGTTCGTAGAGGAGTAGGTGGTAGATCTGGATCGAGAGATGGTGGGAGGATTATTATGGGGACTGATGCTGGTAATAGAGAAGGGAGCTATGGTAAGAGGAGGCTCTCGTTTGGGAGTACTGGTGGACCGGTGCATATCGGAGCTGAGGGAAGCCGTTTGGTTCAGGATCGGTCATTTGATGATGTTCGGGGAGCTAGATCTGGAGCTTCTGGACAAGGAACAGTTGCATCAGGGATATCAGATGTTGAGACGGTGATTGTGGAAGATGGATCTGGAGCTTCCGAGCTGGATGATGTCATGGAGGTTATTGGTGGTAGTGTAGCGGAGGAGTTCTTAAAGGAGGTTAGCACTGCTTGTGTTGATATGGAGCAGGCTGATTATAATCCAGGTATTCAGGAGCGCTCGACGGAGGAATTGCGGGAGTCCAATGCTTGGTAAATCTAGAATGGTTGATAATCCTATGTTTGAACCAAACAAAGTGAAGTTCACTTTTGGCAATGTGGGTCGTATTGCCGATCTGAAGAAGTTTTCTTCGGTCTGGAATGTGATGGAGGCTGAGAAGAAAGTGGAAGGTATTACACCGGTTTTCAATTTTGGTTTGTCGAATGCAGCCAAGGAAACTGGGTGAGTGTCTAGGCATGAACTTGAGGATGCTAATGAGTGTGATTCGGTTATGGATAAAGTTTTCAGTTCAGGTGATCGGGGAAATGTTTCTTCTGGCTTCCAGCAGGATGCTCGGACTCCTAGCATTACCAGGTAGATTAAGAAGGAGGTTGATGAGATTGGCGCAGCTTCTAATGCTTGGAAGAAGTCCACAGCAGTACAATTATCTTTGGTTGATGAGGTTGGTAGCTTCTTGAGAGAAGATGGTTTGGTAAATCTAGATCTTAACGAAGCAAGAACAAAAGTTAGCAAGCTTAGCAGGACTCTAGTTGGAAGCCTTTTGGGACGTCGTCTTCCTTTTTATATTGTTCAAAATGATCTTCAGAGGAAGTGGGGTCATCTTGGGCTTACACAGGTTACTACCATGGGATCGGATTGCTTCTTGTGTTGGATTGAGAGTAGAGAAGCTAGGGATGATGTTTTGCTTGGGGGACCTTGGTATGTAGCTGGACAAATCATTGGAGTTGAACAATGGGCTTCTGGGCTATCTTCTAAATCTTTGAGAGGATTTACATCGCCGGTTTGGATCAGGTTACCAAATCTACCTTTGGAATATTGGGGAGCTTCCAATCTTGCGAGGTTGGCGACAGGCATAAGGGATCCTTTGTTGATGGATGAGCAAACAAAGCTATTGAATAGGTATGCTTTTGCTCGTGTTTGTGTGCGTTTGGATTTGTCAAAGAGGCTTCCTAAGGGAGTTTTGGCTAACGGGTTGAATGGAAAATTTTTTAAACCCATTGAATATGAGGGAATTCCATTAATTTGTTTGAAGTGCGGGAAAGTGGGACATAAGGCAGAATTGTGTAAGGAGAACTTTGTTCAGCCCAAGCAACAAGTTGTTAAGACTAGTGGTGTGCAGAAGCAGGATAGGCCTGAGGGCTCGGTAGATGCTAAAGGTAGTGATCTGGGAGATTTGGAAGGAGATGTAACAGTTGCTGGAGTTAATCCGGTTCACAGGAGTTGTTCAGATGTTGATAATGATGAGGGTGAATGGACCATTGTAACTAGAAGAAGAAGACCAAATAATGCTAAAATTGGGAACATAACACAAACAGCTAATGCTAAGCCAGTTGTACCACCTAAAGCTATTTGGAGAGAGGTGTCTAAGGTGCAGGAAAGCGTTGAACAAGGCGGGCATGTTCAGCCTTCCCAGGATAAGGGAAAGTCAGTGGTAAATTCTATTGGTATGGGGCCTTTCCAGGAAAAGCAGGTTGTTCAAAATATGGATATTCCTTCTCAGGAGCTGTGTACTAATGTTGTGAATTCTGGTGGAAGGAGTCATTCTTATGCTTTGAGAATGGTGGGAAGAAGGAATTGGAAAGATAAGAGCAAGGTGATGTCCCCGTCTCAGAAGTTAGTTCCTAAACTTCTCAAATTTTTTGATAGTAAGAGTGGGGCACTGAAACCGAAATTAAAGCAGGGAAGAAATTCTATTGTTACAAAGGAAATTGCCCAAATTGGATCTATTTTGAGAATGCCACGTATGAGGATGAAGGCTAGAGATGCTGAATTGTCAGCTTCTACTTTTCAACACTTAATTAGTGTAAGTGATGAGCTGGGTTGTTTAACAGATAAGGAGAAAGCTATGGGGGTTCAAAATTCTCAACATTCTGTGGAGATTGGTGAATAGATGAATAGTTATGGGATGGTTATGGGTGATGTGGATGCTCATATGAATGATGATGTTAATAATTGCGACGGGGATGCTTCTTCTTTGGTGAATTATGTTTAACATCATATGTTGGAATTGTAGGGGTGCTCGTAAGAAGGAGACGGGTAATTACTTACGGCACCTAATAAGGGAACATAATGTTAGTTTTATTGGTTTATTGGAGATAAAGATGGAGTCCTTTGACAGAAAAGATGTGGACAAGTTGGCAGGATGTGACTGGGAATTTGTTTTTCAACCTTCCATTGGTAATGCAAGTGGCATCCTAGTGATATGGAAGAGTATTGATCTTTCTTTTATTGTTTCTTTTCACGCTAATCAGTATATCATGGGGAGGTTAAAGATTACTGATAGGACTGATTGGGAAGTAGCAGTGGTTTATGCTAATAAGGATAGGCACACCAGGAGGACTGTTTGGGATGATATTTCCAAATACCATACAATGGGGGTTCCATTGTTGATTGGTGGAGACTTCAATTGCATTATGGCACAGGCAGAGAAGAAGGGGGGTAAAGCTTTTCATTTTTCCCCAGCTGCAGGTGATATGGCTGATTTCATGTTGACTAATGACCTTGTTGATCCTGGATTCAATGGTCCTAGTTTTACATGGACTAACAACAAGGATGCTAGGAGTAGTATTTTTTCCAGGTTGGATCGTTTTTTGGTGAGTTCTTCTATTCTTGATGTATTCCAGGGATTGAAGGTTAAGCATCTTACCAGACTTGCTTCAGATCACTGCCCTATTCTTTGTTGTTTGATGGAAGATGTGAAGAAGGCTAGCTACCATTGGATTAAATTTGAAGATGTGTGGGCTAGCTAACCTTTTGCTTGGCATTTAGTGGGGGAGAAGTGGAAGGTGGAAGGTCTGGGCAGTGAGTCCTTTAAGCTTCAAAGGAAATGTCAAAGGTCTTTGAAGGCTTTGTTCTTTTGGAGTAAGAACAAGCTTAAGAGCCTTAATCAATTAAAAGAAGATCTTGATAAAGAGATTAAAATTTTACAGGAGATTGAATGTGGGCCGAGTGGTCTTTCAGAGGTGCAGGAAGAAGCCTTGAGGTATAAGGTTAAATTGTTGAATAATACTCTTACTCGTATTATGACTTGGTGGAGACAAAGAGCAAAGGTGCTGTGAATGGAGCAGGGGGATGGGAATACTCATTTCTTCCATTCAATGGCATCGGCTAGGAGGAGATCTAAGAGCATTGATTCCATTAAGCAAGATGACGGGTCACTGGTAACAGATCAAGATGATGTTTCTATGGTGTTCTATAAGTTTTTTCAGCTTAAATGGCAGGGGCAGTAAATTATGGAGGACAGATGGCCTTCTCTTGAGCTTCATAGGAATTGTGTGGCAGAATTAAAAGACTTCTTGGAAGGAGATGTTACTGAGGAAGAAATATGGTCAGTTATTTTGTTCCTTGGGCCGGTACAAGGCGCCTGGGAGGGATGGAATTACTGCTTCATTTTTTTAATTTTTTTGGAGCATTGTGGGGGAGCAGGTTATGAAGGCATGTTTGGAGTTTTTCAATTATGGACGCATGGATCCAAGGTGGAAGGAGACAGTTGTTGTTCTTTTACCAAAGGTTGCTAATCCTGATCAACCGTCCAAATTCAGACCGATAAGCTTGTGCCAAACGATTTACAAAGTTGTTGCAAAGGTAATTGTTAATAGATTGAAAGGCATTTTGCCAGATTTGATTTCTGAGGAACAGGCGGCCTTTGTTCAAGAGAGATCAATTTCAGACCATTGCATGTTGGGGCAAGAAATGATGATAAGTTTAAGACTTCTAAATCAGCTAAGGGGATGTTGGCATTGAAAGTGGACATGGAGCAAGCATATGACAAGATGAGTTGGAGGACTTTGGAGCTTGTTTTGATTCGTATGGGGTTCCCTTGTAGATTCAGGAATTGGGTTCTGAGCTGTGTTCAAAGCCCAATTTTTTCTACATTGGTGAATGGACAGCTAACGGATGGAATTGTGGCAAATTGTGGATTTTTCCAAGGATGCCCGCTGTCTCCATATTTGTTCATCTTATGCTCGGAGCTTCTTTCTGCCCACTTCCATCAAAATTTCAAGGAGCTTAGAGTGCCAATCAGTGTGGGTGGACCTCTGGTCTCCCACATGCTCTATGCTGACGATATTTTGTTTTTTGCTGGTGCTAATATACCAAATGTGAAGAAGATTACTTCAATTTTAGAGTCTTATTGCTCTTGGACTGCTCAAAGGGTGAATAGAAGTAAATCTTGCATTTTGTTCAGCAAATTCACCTCCTCTTCTACCAAGTCTCGCCTTGCAAAAAATACTGGATGTTGGAAGGTGGAAGAGATGGAATATTTAGGCATTAGATTGGCATTGAGAAGACTCTTGAGGAAAGACTTTGCTCCCTTGTTGTAGCAAGCCTCGGCCAAGACATTAGCATGGAAGACAAGACATTTATCCATGGCTGGGAGAGTCACCTTAATAAATTCAGTTCTTCTTCCTTCTTCTGTTTATTTGGTGACACACTCACTTGTTCCAAAGTTTGTTCTAAATGATGTGGAGAGAATTTGTAGAAACTTCCTATGGGATGCTGATGCTAATCACAAAGGTATTCATTATGCCTCTTGGGTAAGTGTTTCAAGACCAAGGAGGTTAGGGGGACTTGGCTTTCATGCAAATGTTAATTGGATGGGTCCCCTTAGAGCTCGGGTGGCGTGGGACTATATCAGTAAGCCTAATTCTATGTTTCAGAGGTGTATGGAACGGAAGTATGGTAATTGGCCTTCGGCTTATGAGTTTGTTCGTGGAGATTCAGCTGTATGGAAATTAATCTGTCATGGGGCCATCAGTTTGAGCTGTTGTGTGAGATGGCAAGTGTGCAATGGGGATAAAATTGACATTTTGAATCACATTTGGATATGGGATAGAGCTCTGTCGTCTTGGCCAACTTTCTGTGACATAGCTGTTGTTGAGGACCTTTCGGTTTTAGAACTCCTGACGTTAGACGGTGTTTGGAATAAGCAAAAGCTGAGACTCTTGTTTGGTGAGAGTCTCGTTCAGAGAATTCTGGAGATAAAAATTTGTAACAATTTTGGAGAGGATACTTTGGAGCTAATTAAGTATCCTATTGGCTCTACGGTTTCTGCTTTAGTTTATAACAGCAGATTTCAAGAGGAGGATGATCCGAGCTGGGCTATTCAGAAATATGGGTTAAGGCCGAAGGAAAAGTTGTTCTGGTGGAGGATTTATAGGAATATTATTCCTACCAACTGTTGGCTGCATGATAGGGGTTTTGTGGTGAATGTCCAATGCCCGGTTGGATGTTGTATGGATGAAGATTTAAACCATGTTACAACTAGATGTAAGTAGCTCTTAGATATTCTGGACATGTTGAATGGCTGGGGATTTTATATCCCATGGTTTACTGATTTGCATGAGCTGCAGGTGGCATTAAAGGAGGATGCTAATGTAAGAAATATTGGGTTACATCTGTATTGTGTTTCTGTTTATCATAGCTGGCTAAACAGGAATGCTATTAAGCATGGGAAGGATAGATCATCACCTGTTTTCTTTGCAGCTAGTGTGTTGGAACATATCAATCAAGGTAGTCTTTCTTTCAACCTGGAGCAACGGGATACTTCTCAATCCTTTGGATTGTGTTCACCCTTTTCTTGGTGTCCCCCCCTTACAGGCTGGTTGAAGATTAATGTGGATGGTGCTTTACTCAGATCCAATGCAGGGGGAGTAGGTGTGGTGATTCGAGATAGTAATGGCAAGTTGTTAACTGCAGCCGGCTGGAATTTTTTTCATTGGGATTCAACAAAGGTTGAGATAATTGCTATTCAGCTCATTGGAAAGCTTTTTAAAGATTGGATGAGTGATTTCCATGGAATTATAGTAGAGGGTGATAATGCTACTGTAATTAAGTTTATGCAGGATTTCAAGTATAAGGAAAGATGGAGACTGCAATTGGCAGAATGGGATAAATGGGGCTGGTTGGTGTTATTTCAAAAGGTGATCTTTGTGCATACATACAGAAGGTTCAATAGGGCTACACATTACTGTACTCAAAGAGCACTTGATAGTTCTTTCATATGGGATGTTGGGGATTGTAATAATGGGATTCCTCAAGAATTTTTTTTATATTCTTGAGGATGATGGGACTAGCTTTTCTTCTTTTGTTTAAGGGGTTTTTTCACCCCTAGTTAGTTACTTTTTTGTAATAGCTTTTTTGAGGAATGCAAATGCAGAAATTAGGCTCTATGAATTTGGATGTATGTATAACATGCCATTTATGGGTAGATATAGAAAGATCTCTGTAAATGCAGTATCCTAAAGTCAATTTTAGTCTATGAAGGAATATATCTACATGCCTACTTTTGGCAGTGTCGGATGTACTATATGAACCATAGCAAAATGCATGAAGAATGTGGCAAATGCAAGTTCCTACGAGCTGCTTTAAGAAACCTAATATACACTTAATATGTCATATACAGGAATGATGTAAGGAAGCTACAGCAGATAGCAACATCTACTAGCAAAGGCAAGAGATTAGTTAGTGCACTACAATTCACTCGTAGAGAACAACAAGTAGTGTATGAAAGTCTACCTGTATGAAGTAACGAGCAACTGTGTTCAGAAGCTGTTACGCTATGCTATCGGATCCGCAATATTCATGCAAATGGACAGAAGACATTTATTAATATTCTAAGAATACCCCTGCATATGCACCTTAATTTGTAGGCACATAGGTACACTAAAGGGGTAATACAACCAATCACCCGCATGGGCCCCAGCAAGCGTGTTATTGGTATACACATGACATCTAGGGATGCTACACTGGTCAATAAATTTGAACCCGATCTTCCTAAGTAATAGGAGTCGATAAGGTTCAACAAACAACTATAAAATGCACCCCAAAAACCCACATGGACCCCAGCGAGCGTGTTATTGGTTCACACATAATGTTTAGGGATGTTGTACGGGTCAATAAGTGAGTTCATGTTCAAACCTGATCCTCTTATACAGATCAGTAGGAGTCAACAGGGTTAAAACCTTCAAATAAATACACGGTTGTGGGGACCAGTGTATTTGTTTTAATACATTCATATTAGGCCTTCAAGGCCTATAATCAAGAGAATTCACTAAATAAAGGCATAAAGCCTACAAAACCTGATCCTCAATCAACAGCCTGGTCAAGTTTACATGGTTCAATCAATAAAAGATAAATGACCCCAAACACCCCGATGATGGTTGTATTAAACAAAAATCTCAACCGGATTGGTACCCTTGGACGAAGCAACCCATGGCTGTTGATAAGGATTCTTCTGTTAGGTTGGATTGACTACCTCCTCTGACTAAGTAGACAAAGGACCATGATGGCCCAGGATGACAAAACTCTGGGATCTTGATTGGGTCTATCATCCATTCCCCCATAATCCACTTTAAGTGCAAGATGGTGCAATTTCTAGTTTAAATGTCAATCTTCCAACCTTCAAACTTCCAATACCCAATCTCCAATATTGAACTTGTTTTGCTACTATATGCCAGATAACACGTATTTTCTACGTATTTGATTGATGACTAGCCTTAATCAAAAGTTCTCTCTCACGATCGAGAGGGGTAATTAACTATAGGGGCTTGCGCCTATAGGAAACCAGATCTCAGATCATACATTCCTTCCAAAATTTACCCCCTAACTTAATCCGTTAAAACTCTCTCGCCGAAGAAAAAGCAATTCAGTGCAAGTGGAGGTCCAGGCTGAATTTTCGGAGCCCACAATATAATATGTCAGCAAAGCATTATATTGATTCATTAAACACTGTGTCCATCTCAGTAGGCACTGTAGAGTTAGAAATTCTTCAACACTATGGAGTTAGTTCATATTATGTGCGTCAAGGCGCAAGTGTCTAAAGAGTCATGGTGCTAGAGTTCATTTTCTATGTTTTTTTATAAATAGTCTGCTTGTAATGTTAGTAAGGGAGTTCAGTTACTTAGTTTATTTCAATCTTCATAATACTTCTCTATAATTTTATTAGGTGTGACAACTAAAGAAATTCTAGGAGCACTAGACCGACATCATAAGAGTGTTTGGTTGTTGTTTGTGGAAATAATTATTTATGTTTAATGAGTTTATAGGAGATCATTGAACAAATCTTATGATATATTTTCTTCTATACTCTTTTTTTTCTATTGTGTAATTAATGAAAATATGTTTACTTCACTTATTCTTCATATTTAGCTTAATTCTCTAGTTTTGGATTTTTGGTGTAAATAAAGTATGGAGTACTAATGAATTCTCTTCATCAATAATTTAATAATATTTTTATTATGATAGGGATTTATTAATTCACATAGTGGCCATATATGCAATTAATATCAAGTGTAATGTGGATCCTTTGAATAAGAAAGTAGGCACAACTAGATATTTCTGATTCGTATGACGTAAGCATAGACATAGTGCTTGAGTATACAAAATTTTTAGAGATGAATTATTATGAGGGGGTTTTAGTACTTACTCTTCTAAGAGTTTTATAAGGTGGAATTATGGAATTTTAGAGTGCTAATGGTGTTGGAAGGTTTAATCTTTCCTTTGTCTCTTCACGCTCGACTAATTGGTCAGCGTTGCACATGCTCTGAATAGTATCAATATAAAATAGAATCATTTGGAGGTATATTATATTAATATTCCATCAATCCAAAAAAATTTACTCGATAGTATTTTATTTAATTTTTTATATTTTAAATTAAGTGATTAAATCTTCACCAAAAATATAATTTTTTTTAGTAGGTTAACTATTGTAATGTATTAGGCAATACTATTATTTACAAGTAAAAATTCTTCCTCTTGGGATCAATATTCTACTCTATCACTATATTACTTGATTTGTAATTTGTACTTTAGTATTTTAAATGGGATTTTTATAAATGTTATTATAAAGAAAATCTAAGTATTATTTAGGGATTGATAAAGCCCTAAATCATTTTCACAATTCTTTAGGTTATACCATCACCCCATCAAGATTTTGGTACTTTTGTCGATGAATAATTTATTTTGTTTAAAACTTTAGTAAATTTTTAAATGAATGGCATAATTAGTTCGTTTATATTCTTTTATTTTTTTATTTTATTTCACTAATTTCATAATTATGGTTTTATACTTAGAAGCTTTAAAAAGGAACAACTTCTAGATTTTAATTCAAATATTGAGAGAACTCTTTCTAAAACTAGAAGCACTAAATGATTTTGAAAATGGTTGACCATGTTTAAGAAATAGATCTTTCTAGACCTTTTCAAGATTTTGTAACCCTATGGTAGACGGAATTCACCATAACATAAATTGAAATTTAAATTAAAATCTGCAATAAATTTGATGGTAAGTAATTCTTATTTCGGGGAACTTCCATTGAAGATCATAACCTATATTTAATAAATTTCATATAGATTTATGTAATATTTATATATAATAATGTTAGTGAGGATGACATTAGATTTAGTTTGTTTTAATTTTTTCTAAGAGATGAGGAAAATTGGTGGTTAAAATCTTTACCCCCAGGCTCTATTACAATATGGAATGAGTTAGGCCAAAAATTTCTAAGAAAGTATTTCCCACTTCTAAGACTACTAAACCTAGAAATGATATTATTTATTTTATTCAGTTAGAAGGAGAATCTTTTTATGAGAGTTGGGAAATATTCAAGGAGATGCTTAGAAAATGCCCTTACCATACCTTACTTGGTTGGTTGATAATTTAAACTTTTGATAATGGATTGCTAGGATCCCTTTGAGCCATAATTGATGTTTCAACTGGAGGTTCTTTGATGTCAAATCCTTTTGAGGATGTTTTATTCCTAAGAGAATAGCATGAGTTTATGAAAATGATTCTTTATCCATTTTGACTGCTCAAGTTGCTGCTATTTCTATGAAATTGGATGCATTAAATGTTAATAATGATCTTAAGAGATACAACATCACTTTGCCAAGATATGTAGTGCCACAATGCTACCCTATGAAATTTGAATAAATACATCATAAAAAAATAGGAAGGAATCTTTGGAAAATATTATTCTCCAACTAGGAATGTAAATTAATATTTAATCTAATGATCTTTATAAAATTAAAATCAAATAGGGAAATTGGCTAGGTTGATTCATTATAAAATCTTTGTAGAACCACGTCATAATTTCCAACATAGAAGTTGGAAAGGGTTTTGAGACCATTATAAAGAGAAACACCAACCCAAAGATAAGGATGATATAGGGGAGCAAAAAGAAAACAATACCTCTTTTGAATATCTTGAACCTATTAATGAACTTGAAAAGATTTATAATAAAGTTGTTGAGAGACGACCCCCATATTTTTGAGAGGTTGATCAAAAGAAATCTTGACAAATAGTTCTCAAAGTTCTAAGAAGTGATTCAAAAATTAGCCATTAATTTTCCCTTCTTTGAAGCCTTAGAGCAAATGTCCACTTGTGCTAAATTCATGAAGAATGCTTTATATGAGAAAAGGAATATTTGTGATTATGAAACAGTGGAATTAACTGAAGAATATAGTGCCATTTCATAAAAGATAATTCCTAAAAAAACATAAGGATCATGGGAGTTTTATTATTCCTTTAACTATTAGAGATAAATTTTGTGGGAGAGCATTATGTGACTTATGATCTAGTATTTACCTCATGCCTCTATCAATATTTAAGAGGTTAGATATAAGAAAGATTCAACCTACTTTGTTACTCTTCAATTAGCTGATAGATCTTTTATTTATCCAAAAGGAGTATTAGAGGATGTTATGATCATGGTTGATATGTTCATTTTCCCTTATGATTTTATTGTTTTAGACATGAAAGAAGCTAGGGAAAAACCTCTCATTTTAGGAAGACCATTCTTAGCAATAGGCAATGTAGTGTTGATGTTCAAAAGGGATAATTAACTATAAGAGTTTACGACCAGGAGGTTAAAATTGATAAATTGAAATCAATAAAATCCCCTTAAGAAAGAATGAAGATTTATTCAGGGTGGATTTTGAGGACGTATTAGTAGAAGATCTTAAAAAGAAAATTATTGGAAGGAGAAGTTAATTATGGAGAAGATGATGAGAAAGAAAAAAATACATCTAATGGGCCCACTAAAATAAAATTAAGAAAAAAAAAGATGGAACAAAGGAAATTTTGAATTATTGGAAATTTCATTTTTAGATAATACTTTAAAACCATCTATTGAAGAGGCCCCAACTTTAGAACTTAAAGCTTTACCTTGTTACCTTAAGTATGTATATTTGGGAAAAATTTCTCATCTTCCCATAATCATTTATGCAAATCTAAAAAAACTTCAATATATTTAATTGATCAAGGTTTGAATTAGCTATAAAAAAGCTTATAGGTGGACTATTGCCAACATTATTGGAATAATCCCTCAATTTACATGCATAAAATCTTAATGGAAGAAGATTCTATATCTAAAACTAATCATCAAAGAAGACCTACCATGAAAGATGCTAGAAAAGATATTCCTAATTGGTCAAATGTTGGGATTATCTACCTAATTTCCAATAATTCATGGGTTTGATGCATTCATTGTGTTTCTAAGAAGGGAGGATTGACTGTTATATTAAACAAACATAAAGAATTACAAACAATTAGATCTATCACAAGATGGAGGATTTTTATTTACAATAGGAAACTAAATAAAACAATAAGAAAATATTATTTTCTTTCGTATTGTTTTTATTGATTAAATGCTTTATATGTTGGAATAGTATCCCATTTATTGATTTTTTTATTGATATTCTAATTATCATGAAATTCATATTGCATATGAGGATTAAGTTAACACTTCTTTCACCAATCCCTACAAAACCTTTTCTTATTGGAGAATGCTTTATGGTTTATGTAATGCTCTAGTTACTTTTCAAAGATGTGTAATGATTATCTTTTAGAAGTTAATTGAGCAGGATATTGAAATATTCAGGGATGATTTCTTTATATTTGGCACTACATTTAGTTCCTATTTAGAACACTTAATTAGTTTTTTAAAAAGATGTATTGAAACCAATTAAGTGCTAAATTAAGAGAAATATCAATTCATGGTAACTAAAGACATTCTATTATGGCTTAAGATATCTAGGAAAGGATTGGAATTGAACATTGAAATAATTCAAGTGTTTAAAAAAATTCCTCCACCCAATCATATTAAGGGGATTATAAGTTTCTTAGGGCATGCTAATTATTATGGAAAAGATGTTCCTTTTATAATTGATTATGCATGTTAAAAAGCTTTTAATAATCTAAAGTATGTTTTGACTGTTGCTCCTATTATTATTGCTCTTGATTCATCTTTTTCATTTGTAGTGATGTGTGATTCTAGTAAAGTTGTTGTTGGTGCATTTTTGGGGCAAACCTAAAATAAGAAAATCCATGTTATCTTTTATGTTAGCAAAAACTTTAAATTATGCGCAACCTAATTATACAACCACTAGAAACAAATTATTAGATGTTCTTTTTTTTTTTCTTTAAAAAAGTTTAGATATTATTTGATTGGGACAAAGGTTATTGTTTATAATGATCATGATGCCATCAAATATCTTATGATAAAGAAAGACACCTACCAAGACTTGTTAGGTGGATTTTGTTGTTACAAGAATTTGATGTAGAAATTGTTTATAGAAAGGGCATTGAAAATTAAATTGTCCATCATCTATGTAGGCTTGAATAACATACATTAGTTGTTGTTGAAATTAATGAAAATTTCTGCAATAAACAATTATTTGCTCTCTAGTTAAACAAATCTCCATGGTATACTGACATTATAAATTTCATTGTAAGTGGAATCTTCCTTATGAATTATCTGCCTCCCAAAAAAAGGAATTTTAAGTGTGATACCAAATATTACTATTGGGATGAATCCTATTTATTTAAATCTTGTAATGATCAAATCATAAGAAGTTATTTTCTAGATGAGGAAATAAATTCCATTATTAGTGAATGTCATGACTCAAACTATGAGGGACATTTCAAAATATTTACAAGTGCTTCTAAAATGCCATATTCATGGATGTGAAGGAATATGTAGAATGATGTGTTCAATGCCTAATGGTAGGAAATATAACTAAAAGAAATGAAATTCCCTTGAATTATGTTTTAAATATATATATATATATATATTTCATATTTGGTGATTAAATTTTGTTGGACCTTTTGTGCCATCGCATGGAAACCAATATATTCTTATTATTTTAAATTATGTTTCTAAATGGATTGAAGCTATGGAAACACCTAAATTGATGCTCAAATTGTGATTAATTTCTTAATGGAAAATATATTTTCTAGATTTCATATGCCAGTAGTTTTAATTAGTAATGGAGGAAGTTATTTTTTGTAATAAACGAATAAAAACTATCTTAAGATCTTTGGGATTTTCCATAGGATACCTCATGGTTATCATCCCTGAATTAGTGAGTAAGCTAAAATTAGCAATAGGGAAATCAAGAAGATATTAGTAAAAAAATTTCAATTTTAATAAGAAAGATTGAGGAATTAAATTGGATGATCCATTATGGGCCTACAAAATTACATTTAAAACTCTAATTGGTATGACTCCTTATAAATTAGTTTTTTGCAAATCTTTCCATCTTTTTGTGGAATTAGAACATAATGCATTTTTTTCAGTCAAATAATTGAATTCAAATTTTGGAAGTGCGAAAAAAAAATGCTAGAATTGTGTGAATTAAAAGAAATTATAAATGAGGCTTATGAAATAAGCAAAAAATTATATGAAAATACCTAAAAATGGTATGATAGAAAACTTCTTACGATAGAATTCTCTCATACTCAAAATGTTTTACTTTTTATTCTAAGCTTAAGATATTCCCTAGAAAATTAAAATATTTGAGTTTAGGGCAATTCTCTGTCATTAAAATATTTTTCTATGGGACTATGGAAATACAAGACAAGAAAAGCTTGCATATCTTTCAATTAAATGGCCACATATTGAAACTTTATTTTGGAGAACATATTGATCAATTACAATAATTAACTAAATTGGTTTATTCTAAAACGTAATAATCTATGTAGTCTAGCTGAAGCCTTAAAACTTAGTTCTTCTAGGAGGTAACCTATGTAGATGTTATTCAAGTACCCATTATGTTATAAATGTTATGTTGTTGTTTTTTTTTTTTGTTCAACCTTTAGTTTATGTGCTATTCTATCATTCTTATGAAATCATGTGTTAGTAGTGTTTATTTATGTGTTTTATTTACATATTAGCAAATTCACTTCATGTTTAAATTATTATTATCCTTGAATTATTTTTATATTCTATTTATTTAATTAACCTTTGTAGAAATGATAATTAAAAATTATGTAAAATTAGGATAATAATAAAATCTTAGATCCTAATTTGAATGAACTTTGTTTATACTTCATAGGTTTGAAAAACTATTACTTAACTCATTCAATCATTTGAGTTGTTATTCTAATTTTAATTTAAAAGCTATACTTTTATGAAATTATCTTTTAAAATTCTAAGTTGAATAATTAATATTTCAATTTATATATAAGTATATTAAAATTTTAAATCATAGTTAACCTGATGGTGGAATTAGTAATCTCATCAAGTACATACATTAAAATCATTAATATTATATGAAGGCATAAATTAAAAGCTGATATTTAAAATCATTAATTAGGAACTCCATAAAAGAAGAAGAACAATAAAATAACTCTCAAAGAAA